GATGGAAGCTCCCCAAGGGCAGTCACCAGCCAATTCGATCAGCTGGTAGAAGCGACCTCGGGGCGAGCGCACACGCACACTCCCCTCACTGCGAGGCAGTTTCTATCGGCCAATCGAAGTGGCTGGTGACTGCCCTTGGGGAGCTTCCATCGCCCGAAAGACACTGCCTAATGACGAGGGGACACGGACAGCCACGCCTCGCCCCAAAGCGGCTGGGGACTCTGCCTTCGGGGAGCTTTCGTCGGCTGATAGAAACAGCCTCGTGGAGAGGTATGTCTGTATGGGCTGCTCTAGGTGGGGAGGAAATTATGTCACCTCTGAAAAGACGGCCTAGCCGTTTTTTTGGGGCTCAAAAAAAAAATAAGGCTGGGCCTTATTTTGTGAGAAACACGGTAGCTGGGAACCTACCTTACAAAGTAAAAGGATTGCCTTCCTTCCAACCCCCAAAAATGTGTTTTCCCCAGAGAACTAGATTTTGTGCATATTGGCATGTTTTGTTTGCCTATATTCTGAAATCCCTTTGTTTTGGCAAGTAATAGGATCTCACCAACACAAATATGATTAAAATCTCATCACCAGAATTTTAAATGATCAGATGTATCAAAGGGGAACATACTATTGATCAGCGCAGGTTAATCCAATGGAAAATAAGTGCTCAATGGCAGACTGTATTTTCCACATACCCCTCAATGCAAAAGTAGTAGTACTTACTCGCTCCTCTGCAGGACGCTCTTCTATATTTAATGGAATCTTCAATTCCACATCTTCCAACCCAGGAACCTTTTTTAAGGCAGGATCATGTTGGATAATTGTTCCATTTTTATAATTTAAAACTTTCATCTCCTTACTGACCTGGAAGCTTGGGTGATGGTGAAAAAAAAAGCTTTTCTGTGGCATGGGCAGAGACCAAGCTATTGCAAAGGCAACAGATACAGAAGTAAGTGACACCACATTCAAACTGAACAGGGACCAGCCTGAAACAGACACTAGGACTTGTCCACAGACAGAGCCCACAGTATAGCCCACAAGGGCAGCGCTTCGACAGTAGCTTGTGACTTTCTGGTACAAGTTCAAGTCCACAACACTATAAATGTAAGAGTAGTAAGCAATTTCTGTTGCAGTCACTAATCCATAAAAGAATTCCAGGAACTGAACAGCTAGAATTCCTTGGGAGTAGAGAAGCATAAACCATGTTACTATAAGGCTTAGTCCTTGCAGAAGGATGACAGGCTTGTATCTGAGATAATCTGTGGCCAAGAAGACTGGGAACAGCAGCACTAAATAAGAGTATGTCCATACCGGATAAATTTCATTGAAGACCTACAAAAAAAGGGATATTAACATTATAAAATGGAAATATGCAATAAGAATGGATGACAAAACAGAGTGGAAATTTTGGTTATAATATACAAATTGTACAATGGGAGAATAAGTGGATGAAAGGGCTGAAACTTGTATGAAATGATGTATCATTGGTATTTGTGACCAGAATATCATCTGTATGAAGGAATTTCAAATTTTTGTTGGAAATGTGAACAAGACCTTTGATCAAGTTTGATGGACACATAGTGTGTATATGTGTGTGCGCGCGCATGTGTATATGTATGTACATATGTATGTATATATACACACATGAACATGTGTGTGTGTTTAATTACAAAAATTAAACATTAATACATTATGGAAACCAGAAATGTTTCTTTTGACTTTGATTTATATTTCTTGCAGTCATCTGCTGGTAAGCATTCTTTCTGAAAGTCGTTGAGGCCCCCTTGGAAGTTTATCTGGGCCCTCCACTTTTCCATCCTCCACCATTCAGTCAGAGTGGAAGAAGCGTCTTGGATGAGAAGTGAAACGTCCTCAGGAAAAACAAAGTCCAGTTGCCTTTTTGGGGAAAAAAAAACATCACTTCTGGGTCAATTAGAGAAAAGATCTCACCTGGGTCTCGGTGAGGTTCTTGTCCGGTCCCAACAAGTAAGGTGTGAGAAAAGGTTCCGACGGTCGCAAGTTGGCAAAGAAACCGTAGCCACACAGCACAGTCGTCGGCAATAGCCAACCAAAACGCCGCGGGGGCCGCCTAGCGCGGCCAGAAAACAACCGGGACCGGAGTCCGTCCAAGACACCCGGCGTTTCCATCTGACGAGCCCCGCAACGGGGCCACTCAAACTCCCGCTTTCAGCGGCAGCTTCCGGTCGGCAGTCACCCTGCCACCAGACTACCAGAGACCCTACCGGCAACCCACGTGACCAAAGGCACCTTGGCCCTGCGCAGTAAACAGTCCCGCCTCCTTGTTTTCGTTGGCACCTGCGATTGGGTGGAAGAGTCAGAAGGAAGTCCAAATCAGCGGGGTGGAGAGGGTTACTGGTTGTTTGCAGAGCAGCCAATTGGATTGCTTAATTCAGGCCACACCGCCGTTGGCTTTATTTTGATAGGTCGTCGCTTCTCTGTTCGTGCCTTTTCTTGTTTTAACCGGTGCGGGTTTTTTTTTTGCTTCGGAAGGATTGCACTCAGGGCTGTGACATCAGTGGAACTAGTAGAGATGAATGTTTCCAAGGTAGGAAATATCTCACGTGTAGTGGGGTATTACCAGTTGGACAAGCAAACCGGAATCTAAAAACGTGCTCGACCGCTTTTTTAGGAGCGATTTATTGCGATTATTACTTTCAGCTTTCCGCAGTCTTGAGTTCTTTGCCATGCTTTCTTCTCCTGTTCTCACATGTCTAAGTCTGGTGATGGGCAGATAGATGGGATCAACGGCTGAAAGGAAGAAAGTCACGGTGGGGGCAGTTGAAGTATGCCAGTCTGGACTCCATAGGAGGTAGAAAATGTGTGAGATCAAACGCTTAAGTCTTTATCTGGCTTTCCCAGGGAAAAGCAGACAGTCTGGTAAGATTCTTGTGTGCAGTGGAGTCGATAGTAAAGGAACTTCTGGACCGGAATCTCGGAGTCACTTGGATTGTTTGTGCCTGACCGATAAGTACCAAGTGATCTTGCGTGAATTTTAATAAGCATATAAAAGAAGAAATAATAACGACCATCCTAATCCTAGGATAACTGGTGGGGATGAGAAGAGATAGGATAGATCAAAAGGCCTGCTGCAGAGGAGATAAAATTTTATTACGGATTTCAGAATGGAATGGAATGGAATAGAATAGAATAGAATAGAATAGAATAGAATAGAATAGAATAGAATAATTCTTTATTGGCCAAGTGTGATTGGACACACAACGAATTTGTCTTGGTGTAAATACTCTCAATATACATAAAAGAAAAGATACATTCCTCAGGAGTCGAGAATCATAGCGTACAACACTTAATGATAGTCATAGGGTACAATAAGCAATCAAATCATACTAGGAAACGATCAATATAAATCGTAAGGATACAAGCGACAAAGTTACACTCATACAGTCACAAGAGGGAGGGGATGGGTGACAAGGAGTCATGAGAAGATTAACAGTAATAGTAGTGTACACTTTGTAAATAGTTGAACCGTGTTGAGGGACTTATTTGTTTAGCAGAGTGATGGCTTTCGGGGAAAAAACTGTTCTTGTGTCTAGTTGTTCTGGTGTGCAGTGCTCTATAACGTCATTTTGAGGGAAGGAGTTGAAACAGTTTATGTCCAGGATGTGAGGGGTCTATAAATATTTTCACAGCCCTCTTTTTGACTTGTGCAGTATACAGGTCCTCGATTGAAGGCAGGTTGGTAGTAATTGTTTTTTCTGGACTCCTAATTATCCTCTGAAGTCTGTGTCTGTCCTGTTTGGTTGCAGAACCAAACCAGAGAGTTATAGAGGTGCAGATGACAGACTCAGTGATTCCTCTGTAGAAATGTATCAGCAGCTCCTTGGGCAGTTTGAGCTTTCTGAGTTGGCGCAGAGTATCTTGAATGTTACTATACATGCATGTACTTCCTAGTTAATGGGATAGCCATTAAAGAAGCATATTGTCTTGCCTCCTAGCTTGCATAGAATAATATAAGTGTGCTTAGGGTTCTTATGGTAGAACAATCAAGTATTACCAAAACTGACGAATGCTGTCCTTATCACTAGCAGGGAAGGCTGCATGCAACATTATAAGGGAGCTTGCTATCTTAATCTACTTCTGCCTCCAAACATACTTGGTAAAATCTTGATTGACAAAAATATGGGTAGCTGAAATCAGTATTTGTGGGCCATTCTGTTGATGATTATAATGTACGGAGGACTTTAAAAAATTTGGAATATAAGAGAAGTACATTTTACAGACAAGGAATGGACAGATGGATGGATGGATAGATGGATGGATAGATAGATAGATAGATAGATAGATAGATAGATAGATAGATAGATAGATAGATAGATAGATAGATAGATAGATAGATAGATAATGGTTTGTGTCTGTGAAACTAAAGGAAAAGGAGAAATTGTAATAGATCTGAATGGAAATGGTCTGATTTCAGGATATAGTTGAGAAACATATATATGGAAGTTAAGGTGTAGGTTTAACTATAAACAAAGCAGCAGCCTAACAGGTATGGTCAGATGGTTTCATCAGTGATGAAATACTGTGTCATCACAGCACATGCCTCACTCCCTTTTACGTTAATTATAACATCACTTTATTAGATTTTTATCTTACCTTTATTACTTTATAAGTAACTCAAGGAGTCAAACATACCCAATTCTCCTATTTTTTCCATGACAACAACCCTGTGAGGTAGGTTGGGTTGAGAGAGAATGACAGGCCCAAAATTATCCAGTTAGTTTTCATGCCTCAGGTGGGACTGGAACTCAGTCTCCTGGTTTCTAAGCCAGCACTTTAACTATTATGCTAACCTGGCTCTAACTGCTACTTTCATGAAAGCAGCAGAAGCTTCCAAGTGTCCATGAATGAAAGGCTAAAATATTAGAAGGTGAATGGAAATAACAATAAAGATAATGAAATTATTTGGAAAGAAACTAAAGGAATGCTGAAAGGAGTACTAAATATATCTCTGTTGTAATGGAGGTGATAATGTGAAAGTTTGGAATTTAAGTTTATGCTATAACATTTAGTTTTCAAGAAAAAATGATGAAAAGGTGGTAAATATTGTGAGATTGTAAAAGTGGAGAAATGTTAAAATATGGAAATTTGCAAAAAAAACCAGAGATGTGTTTATTTGAGGAATTATTGGGTATATATTGTGTATATTGGCTTTGGATATGCTTATCATTGATTCATTGGAATTGATTCATTTTTGGTAGATGTTAGATAGTTAATTGAAATGAATGATTATAAATTCATTATATTAGTCACTGATTCATTCTTCAGACCCAAGATTATTCATAGAAACTGTTGAAAGGCACTATTAGTATCAGCATTTATGCCTCTTATTTAACAGTTACTGTTATCTGCCTACATTAAAAGTTGCCTTTCCTAGCAACTTTAAGTGAACCATTAAATGCTACTGCCTTTTTCAATTTCCCAATCCATCTTATTAGCATAGATGTTTCAGATAATCATCGATGTACCAACCAGGACCAACTTTAACTTTCTAGATCAGCCAAGTTGACCTAGAGCAGTGAACCTTTTCCGCACTGAGTGACAAAATGGGAGCGCATGCACCAGGGAGCACCAGAAACTGGAAGAGCAGCTCCCCGGCACATGCATGTGGGAGTGCCGGAAACTAGAAAAGCATCTCCCCAGCATGCGTGCCACCAGGGAGCTGCTATTCTGCTTTCTGGCACTCGCATGCATGCAAAAACCAGCTAGCCAGCGTTCATGCACGCACCAGAACCTGGAAGAGCAATGGGCAACAACTGGCATGCTCAGAGAGATGGCTCTGCATGCTACTTCCGGCACACGTGGCATAGGTTCACCATCACAGACCTATCGGTATCTGCTGAAATTTAATTAATGTAAATATTCTCATTATAGGCCCTCAGAAGAAAGCGCAACAAAAAAAATGAAATGAAATGATATCTATTTGAGAAGAGAAAAACACAAGGAACATGGAACTGGCAAAAAAAAATAAGGTTTTATTGTATTAGGATTACAGTCATGATTAAAGTGGCACTAGAATTAATCATTGTAAAGTCACTTCAGTTATGATATTTTGATTGATATTTTCAAAGCTATTTGAAAGCTATAGCTGAAAATTGAGAAGGATAGCTTTTTTATGCTAAGACAGTTTTATTATGCTTTTGTTTTTGTTTCCTTTTAAAAAGCAGAGTTAGTAATAAGAAAAC